CTGTTAGGGGGGGGGGGGGGGGGGGGGCCTTCGGTGGGATGCAACACCAGGCTGTGGCGATGTTTAAAGGCGCTGCAGTGCAGATTGCGATGCTCTCCCACCGCTCACTTCCAATTAGGCAGCGGGCCGACTGATGCGTCTCGCAGCAGAAGCTTCTAGCCGGCACGAAAAGGAGCCGCTCCGCTCTGTGACATCACGCCGGGAACTTCATGGTGGGGGGGGGGGATTGCTAGATGCCACGGTTGGCGTCCGCGCAAAGACGCACTTTTAACAGATTCACACATTTGTAACAGCATAAGAACCAATAAGTCAAAACAAAACATGCAGGGAGAACGTGTAAGCCGGGACTGCCGGCCTTCGGGTCTTTTCTTTTCTTTTGTTGGCGCGCAGATTGTGCGTTCCAGCGTTCTCTTGTGTTTTTAGCTAACAGCATGTTGGTTGTGAAAACAATTTTGATTAATTGCCACAATTATTGTGATCATTTTAGACCAAATGTACAGCCAGATGGCAGGATATGGTGTCATATTTGCGATCCTATCATTAATCTGGCTCGGGGTCCATCTGAGCACATTGTGCCGTTTGCTGCGTTCACAATCTGTCCTCAAGTTGTCCGTGTCCTTTTTTTTTGGAGCTGCGAGTTTATATTTGATTATATTAGAGTATAAAATATTAAAGTCGAGGGTGTATGAAAGCAAGGCATTTATCTGCATGAATAGCTCGTGTTTAGTGAAGTAAGTAATGCACTTTAAGTAACATCCCCTTCATGCATACAAAAATTAACTTGAGTGTTTCCGTTCCACGGGTTTGCAGTGAAAGCCCGAGGAAGGTCCAACAAACCCACTTTGTGGCTGCTTTTAAACCCACTTTTCATTATCCAACCTATGGACGTGTTTTTAGCAGCATGTTCCACCGTTAACAACCAGACTCTGCAAGAGTTTTGAACTGTGTTCGGGGCGTCATTCAAAAGAGTTAAACGAAACAACGGCCCAGGTGGGAAGTAATGACACGTTCCTATTTAAAAGCAAGTCAAAGACTGTTTAATTCCGTGATATCAATTAACCTGCAGACAAATGTTGTCAAAGGGAGCAGCCCGGATGCGATTGTTCTCTCTTTGCTCTGCGGTGTCCTTGGGCTCAGGGAGACTGTTTCCTGACAGGGAACAATGAAGCGAGAGGTGTTTACAGATCTTTACAGATGGCTCCGGGCACTCAGAATTAGCTCCTCGCCGTTTTCTTTTCCGACTTCAGATGTGTCATCAAGACTATCACCGCGATGTCTGACAACGTATCGCGTTTCATCGCGACGTGCGCCGCTCGCCGAGTTAGTCAGATATCACTTGTCAGATTATTAAACCCCGTGACACGCGCGTCTCGTTCTAATGATAGCTCGCCGGAGAAATCGCAATCACAACGGCGGAGCTTCAACAACACAAGAGCTTCAACAACTTTGGAAATGAGGTTTTTGTACAGCAGGTACTTTTTTTTGACTGACACTTCCCACCTATTTATAACAACAGAGGAGCGCGGCGACTTAAGTGTTTTTAAATGTTCGGGCGCCGTTAATTGGGCTCACGTGTGAGTGGAAACACGTAATCGTTTGTGAGGCGGAGAGACGGAGAATCGTTCAGTGATCCTGACCTGCGTTGTTAGTGTTCTCTGTCTATGCAGCAGGCCTCCTCTTTTTTATTTATTTATTTATTTTCCCCTTTTACATGGCATGAATCCGGGAGATGAAAATGTCATGGAGCAGGTTCGTTTTTGCAAAGCGGTTTTGATTGCCATGCCGCGTGTAATTGATTGTTCCAAGGACAGGGGGAAATCTAGAAATGTCATAACAGGCCTGCTTAGGTCGGTCCCACCACGAGGCGATCAATGAGAAGTAAAAAGAGATATTGATTTCGCGAGCAGGCAAAAACTGTAGCTTGAGACAACCGGAGAGCGCCGGGGAAAGTGGCGCGGGCCGGAGCAGACCTGTCAGCGGCACCTATGAATTACCCCGCCGTCTCTGAAGACAGTGTTGCGTCGCAGGTCCTGCGCTGGGCATCGCGGCTGTCCATTGGCTCGCCTCCTCGGGCTGCTCGGATTAATGAAGGAAGCGTTGACCTTCCCGCTGATGAATGTTCTCAAATTTACAAAAAAGTTCCTCCTGGCATGTCGACGTCGGAAAGAGAACGCGCGCACACACACACACACACACACACACACACACACACACACACACACACACACACACACACACACACACACACACAAGAAGAAAAGAAATGATTGACACACTTTGAAGAGACTCACTTACACAAGGGGAGTGGGGATTGCGCACGATGAGGATAATGCTTCAGTTGTAAATATATTGTCATGTAAGCCTTTAGCACCGCTGCAGAATGTTGAACCTAATCTACTGTTTCCTTTGCAGTTAACTGGTTTCTCTTGATGTGAGGAGGAAAAAAAAAAAAAAAGCATTTTGGCTCAGAAACCAACTGCTGCTTCTGTAAATCCAGGCCTTGCTATGCCAAGAGTCTGCTCCAACGGATAAAAGTTATAAACACTTCAACTGCCTTGATTTATGATGGACACCTCGGGTTTTTTGACCTTTTGCATATCTGTCTGAGGATATAAATTTGTAGTGACACAGATTGGAGGCTTTACAGGAGTTTATGACATGCTAAATCTCAGGCAAGTCATGCCGGCCTCTTGTTTCTTTCGTGAGGCTGGTTGGGCTGCGAGTCGCCTCGCATGGACTCCGAGGCGACGTTTCACAAGTTGTAAAGTGCATGAGAATAAGCCATTGCTGCTTTTGGGCTTAGGCAACCACGCAGCGGCTCTTAGTTTCAACATTTATGTTTTAAAGAGGCCTGTCCACAGTTAATTCCCTATTCTTGAAAGACCTGTGTGTCATGACATAACAAACCAGTTATGAAAGGGAACGGCGCATCTCGGCGTGGCCGCGGTAACAAAGGGCGTGAGGAGCCATCTGATGGAACCGCGTAAAACCACAGGAAGGGCTGCAGTTGATCAATGGTCAATTCGCCCTCAAATACGCAAACATTCACAGTCAGATTGAAGAAACTACTTTTTAGTGGACCTCACAAATGGGCAAAGTTGCAACAGAACTGCACGTATGGTTGAGTTTGAAGCCCAAATGAAATATGCATGCAATCGCCCTCATGTGAAGGGGGCCACGCCAGGATTGAGACGTTGCGAGTGAACTCTCACTGGGCAGGAAAAACGCTCATCTCCCCACTTTGGAGTGCGTTCTTCCCAGTCTCTCGGTTTTAGTGGCGACTTTGAAGAGAGAGGACATCAACTCGTCACAGCCAATGGTGTTCTCCTTCACTGTGAATACTATATATAAGACGATAAATAAAACATACCTCTGTGCTCTTGACAACTCGCTCCCTTTAGCATCAAGGGTATTTTGGAGGCCATCACCCATCTCAGTCGGCCAATCAAAAGCACCTCTCTGTTGCGGCGGATCAAGGTCGCGGCACAGTGGGGGCTCCCGGGTGCGTGAGAACGCGCGTGCGGGTCTCTTGTTCGCCGGGCCGCATCCTCCCATGTTTGTTTTTGAAAGTCCGAATCCCATCTCCATCCATTAGCCGGCAGGCAATTCACCTCCAGGGTTTCTCTGGTGGCACTTGTGAAATATTGATAAAAAGAAAAGTCTTATATTCGGGAGGGCGAGAAAAAAAGAAGGAAGACATTCTATGGGGCCGCCCAGTGTGGGACTCCTGAGTACTGCTTCAGCCTCCCCCCCCTCACGGAGTGCCCTCTATTCAGGGGAGAAATATTACCGCACGAAATGCATAAGTGCCTGGACAGGGCCGTTATGTCCTATTCATATTTAACTCGGGGCCACATCTGCCACGTCTCTCCCAAAATGCACATTTTCCAGCGTGACTGTGAGGCGGAAAATATCTCAGATATGCGACAACGCTGACAAACTGCATTTATTGCAGGATGTCTTCAAAAGATGTGCAAACATTGGTTGTGATTTTGTTGTGCCGGGATGCTGGGTGTTTTGATTTGAAATAATCTGAAGTGGTTATTGGCAGAAAAGTGTGGCTGTGTCGGTTTTATGTGGAGCAGAGCCTGCAGCCACGTGAGGATCCCTCTCTGCTGAGTCAGTCTCCACTAATTGGATGATGGGAAATATGTCAATTAGAAATACTCTTGTTTAATTATCTGTTAATTGAAGCAATAATGTTTGTGCTCTATGAGTTGGGAGAATAAACAGGTGAATAATGAAAGAAGTAATTGCTGTTTATGAGACTCAGGGAAACTACAATGACGTGACAGATTGCCAGTTTATATATTTTTTGAATTCTTTTCTAATTGTTAACACTTATAGTTGAATCAGTTTTTCCGCCAGCGTGATCAACATCTTCATCAGCATCCGCATTTGCAACATATTTCTAATTTTCCTGATGGCTACATATCTTCTGAAGTCTGCTGAGTCTTTACATTTACAGATGGAGCAATGCGGCACGTTGCAATTCCTGAGTTTATGTCGAACCATTCGTCACGCACGGCTTTAGGGAGGCTTCGATTTCATCCAGAACAGAAGGCTTGCATTTCCAATGCAGTTTTCAGGCATCCATAATCACCATGGAATAGGTCATTTACAATAACACTTAGCGGGCCCGAGAAGAATCAATTTCCTTTTGTCACTCAGTGGCCAATGATTGTTGTAAACATCTCAACTTGAGGCCAGGAAAAACCTTGGACACAGCACTAAGTCAATGGCCTGCCGTGAATCAAATGGTGCCGTTACACCAGCAGCAGTCTGTTAGCAAAGACATTATGTCCAGCTAAAGTCTGCATCCTCCCAAGGCACCATGCAGCCCCCATTATGTTGTCCTAAATGACTTCTGTGACTTCCCACAAAAAAATCATTACAAGAAAAACGCGTTTAGGATTTTTTAAATTATTGTGCTTTGAAAATGAAATCCACGAATATGCTGTTTGAAAGTCATTAATCTCCACGTCTTTTTCTTTCCCTAGTGTACATACCTGATGAAGACGGCGTCCTTCAGGAAGCCATCCCAGAGGAAGACGGCGAGAACGACGCGCAAACTGAAGAAGAGTGCTCAGAGAAGACCAGCCCCGTAGTGTCCGAGGACAAAGAGCTGGACAACAAGAGCACCAACACTTACAGCAACCAGAACTCTCCCATCAGCGTCCTGTCCAATCAAGAGGCCGAGCTGGAGTCCCGCCTTAGCGACGCGAGCGACAGACTCTCCGACTTCAAGACCGCCTCGCCGCTTGAGGTCCAGAGGGACGTCGAGAGCCGCAGCTCCAAACACAAAGACGAGGTGGGCGGCAGCCTGGAGAAGATGAGGGCGGCCTATGCGAACTTTCTCTCCGATTCCTACTGGACCGGCATCGGGATGGACTTGAAAATCGGCAAGAACGCCAGCAAAGCCAACTGTGACAGCACCAACGGCAGCACCAAGAGCGAGTTTGACTGGCACCAAGACGCGCTGTCCAAGACCCTGCAGCAGACGTTCTCCCCGAAGCCCGCGTGCAAACCCAACCTCTTCAGCTCCGTCCACCTGTACCGGCAAACGACCAAACCCTGCGGCTCGCTGTTCACGGGAGCCAGCAGGTTTCGCTGCAAGGACTGCAGTGCCGCCTACGACACGCTGGTGGAGCTGACGGTGCACATGAACAAGAGCGGCCACTACCAGGACAACAACCACAGCAAGCAGGGCAATTCCTCCGCTTCCTCTTCCAAGTCAAGGAAACGGAATTTGCAGGACATGGAGGGAAAAGAGGACGCGCAGAAGGTTCTGAAGTGCATGTTCTGCGGTCACTCTTTCGAGTCGCTTCAGGATTTGAGCGTCCACATGATAAAAACCAAGCATTACCAAAAAGTGCCTTTGAAAGAGCCGATCCCGGTGATCACACCCAAACTGTTGCCGCCGTCGAAGAAACGGGCCTTTGAGACGGTGCGACCCTGCTCCCCCGACTCCACAACTGGGCTGTCCGGCTACACTGAGGCGCAGCGCGCCGCTGCCGCTTCCAACGCTAACAACAATCGCTACGGCTATCAGAACGGAGCGAGCTACACTTGGCAGTTCGAAACGTGCAAGTCTCAGATTCTCAAGTGCATGGAGTGCGGGAGCTCCCACGACACCCTGCAGCAACTCACCACGCACATGATGGTTACCGGGCACTTCATAAAAGTCACAAACTCGGCCTCGAAGAAGGGTAAACAGCTAGCGCTCGACCCCCTGGCGATAGAAAAGATCCAGGGTTTAGCCGAGTCCGCCGCCAGTGACAACGAGGGAGAAAAGGTGTCTCTGAAAACCCCTTCCCCCGGGAGCAGTGAGAGGGATAGCCAGGGGGAAGGCACGTCGGACAAAATGGAGGAAACTGAAGCTAAAGATGACAAGCCAGAGAGCGGGGATCAAAAAGCAGACAATGGGACTTTTAAGTACCCTTATCTCCGCGAGGAGGATCTTGAACAGGACTCAGGGGGAGGAGGGGACATTCTTAAATCGTTAGCCAATACCGTGGCCTCGGCCATCAATAAAGCTCAAACGGGGACGCCGAGCTGGAGCGCCTACCCCAGCATTCACGCCGCCTACCAGCTCTCCGGCATCATCAAAAGCGCCCCTCTCTCTGCCTCCCCCCCTACTCAGCTAAAGCAGACATTTAACCACAAGCTGAGGCCCATCGCCCCAAAGGGGAAGTTGTACCACGGTGCTGTGGGAGTCGAGGCTCCCCAGGGACAGCATCAAAACGCGGACGTCAAAAAGGAAAAGGTCGGCATTAGCGACGGTAGAGAAAGTCAGAATATTAAGTTTGATCTGGTAGACAATGATGACAGCGATTGTCAGGACGATTCCTCTTCCTCTTCAAAGCTCGATGCAGACTGCGTGAACGAAGGCGGCGACGCGATCAAAGGGAAGTTGAGCCCAGATTTCTCTGACAGAGGCAAGACACCGAGCCCGTCTGCCAGCAACGGACGCAGCGCTACTTCAGAGCCGCTCGGTGACACTCCGGCTCTCCTCGGCATAAACCCTCTCAGCGCACTGCAGTCAGTTCTGAACAATCATCTGGGCAAAGCCAATAAGCCCAATAATTCGAGAGCAGATAAACCATCCGCTCACACCAAGTCTATTTTTGCCGACATTAACCGCGGCAGCGAGAAACCAGCGTCGATGCTCGGGGGCGCTGTAAGAAAGCGGCCCGAAAGCGCCTTTCTCTTTGCTAACGAGGACCAGCCAATAGACCTGACGAAATCCAAACCCAGCAAGCCGAGTTCCTCGCTGCTGCAACCCTCGGCGCCGATGTCTCAGAAATACGCCCTGTCCGACATTGCGGACATGGTGAAGGTTCTTCCGAAAGCCACGACGCCAAAGCCCTCCGCGCCGTCGAGGATCCCGACGATGAAACTGGAGTCCGACGTCAGGCGCTTCGAGGACGTGTCGGCCGAGGTGTACGCCGTCCACAAGCGCAAGGGTCGACAGTCGAACTGGAACCCTCGGCATCTTCTCATCCTGCAGGCTCAGTTTGCCTCCAGCCTCTTCCAGACGTCCGAGGGTAAATACCTGCTGGCGGACCTCGGCCCCCAGGAACGGATGCACATCTCCAAGTTCACCGGACTCTCCATGACCACCATAAGCCATTGGTTAGCGAACGTAAAATACCAGCTCCGGAAAACCGGAGGGACCAAATTCCTGAAGAGCATGGACACCGGGCACCCCGTCTTCTACTGCAATGACTGCGCTTCTCAGTTCAGGTCCCCGGCCGCCTTCATTTCCCATCTGGAAACCCACCTGGGGTTCCAGATCAAAGACATGTGCAAGATGCCCGTAGAGCACCAGACGAAGGCGGAGGAGCCGGAACTGTCGAAGGCGCTCGGTGTCCGAGCCACGGAGGCTCTAGTGACGGACGAAGACATTGACTCAAAGTTCAAATGTAAGCTCTGCTGTCGGACATTCGCCAGCAATCACGCGGTCAAGCTTCATTTGAGTAAAACTCACAGCAAATCCCCTGACAACCATTCACAGTATGTGGAAATGGACAAGGAGTGAATTTACATATTGTTGTCAATTTTTTCTCCCCCCCCCTTTTTTTATTTCAACACACGGGTCAGATATTTCCACACTTTTCCAATTAGCTTTGTGTAGTGCATCATTCTGATTTCATGGATAGCAAAGACACACTGGTTAGAAAATTGTATAAGGAAACACTACGAGATACTTTTGCACCCTGCTCAAATGCATCACCAGTAATGAAATGCATTACTGCTCGAAGAAACATAATTGCGGATGTTTGCATGCATTAGCGTTGGCTATGACTACTATTTATTTGTATGATATGTCAAGTTTAAATTGTATTTCAAAGACAAAATAATTAACTAATTGTACTTTACAACTTCTGTGATACCGAACGCCTGCATACATGCGCAGCTGTTTTAAACAGGAAGCCCAACACACGACCACACACATGCAGACCTGTAAAGTGCATTGCTATGTAAAGATGTTTTGTGTTGCAATGATAGAAGAGAAAAAAGCACTTTAATAAATGTTTAATCACCAGTTTAGACTCGGATTCTGTATATGACTCAAAAATATTTAGACGGTTTGGCAACAAGGATATTTCACGTGTAAATATATTTTAGAAGAAAAGAAAAAAAAACAGCGTTTCATGCAAAAAGGATAACAGCAAAACAGATGTTACCTGTGATACCTGCACCTTTTTTTACTTATTCAAATAAAGAGTTAACATTTGATAACAGCTTGTATATCTTTTTATTTCCTTATGTTTTAACGTTTGCATGCGTAGCTAGGAATATAAGATGGATAGATATACAAGATTTAGTGCTTAGCAAACCTTGCTGGTTCACCCGACCAACTGATGATGAAGATGTGTAATACACCAGCAAATTCTATTATTGCATTACCGCAGTGATTTTAATTCAACATATATGGAGTATACAATTGCCAATAATGAAAAGTATTACCAAATGTGAGTTAGTTCCAGCAAAATAATAGAAATAACAGACTAAGAAAGTGTTTCCCAAGTATTTTTGTATTTAAATTCACTACATCTTCCTTGTTTTTTACATGTTTTGGAATCCACCGAGAAGCTCAATGTAACAATAGCGTCCTCACACTGGAGCCCACGCTGCATTCAATATCTTTACCGTATGACTTTTAGATACACCTCAAAGATACATCTTCTTGTCAGACTTTATTGCTTTCCCGTGAACGCCACTGCTGTTGCTGCAAGATGGTATCATAACAATTAAACATATTTCCTCCAGCTCTATTATTTCAAGGCTATTAAAAATAATTGCCTTCCGAATTCATAAACATTTCATGCAATTCATCTCTTTTCGAGCAATCAAGTCTTCAATTACCTCCACCCATCAAATCTCGGTTTTATAACGGCCAACTGACATTTGATGGCGAACGGGGGGAAAAGCACATGGGCGCTGCGGTGATTTGAATGCTGTGACACCAACTTGCCCCCTATTGTTGGAAATGAGCAGGCAATCACGTTGCTCATCAGATGACTCCTAATGCAGTTAAAGTATTCAGCTATAATTTCTCCCTGCATTTATAATTACTGTCAAAGACCACACACCTCAGTGAGCAGATTAAAGCTATAAATTATTTAGTGCCTTTCTTCTCCGAAGGATCTCTGATTTGTCTGTAGGGCCATTATGTTTTAGAGGAGCAACTTATTCTGAACTGAAGCAAGCATTGTGCTTAAGATGCGGCAGAGTGCTTTGCAGGGGGAGGGGGGGGGGACTGTTATTGGCTGTTTGAGTTTCATTAAGGGAAATTCAAAGTGAGGCTTTTCACTAAAAAAAAGGACGGCATGCGACGCAGAATTTTTGTTTTCATTTCCTGTATTTCGATACAAATTATTATTCACTGCGTATATGTGCTTCATGTACATTTGGAAGATTCAGCACAACCTATAATAGAGATTCACGCAAGGCCAACCGGAGAAAAATGCTCTCATCAGTGCAATCACAGAGGGAAATTAGTTGTCTGCACATAATTTGCTCTAATAAGTCAAAGTCGGTGTGGGACTCATTGTTGGTACACAAAACTGCTAAATGGCTGCGATATAAAGAATTGATACGGCAAACTGGTTAACAAAAAAAGCAAACTTCATAAGGTTAATACGAATGTATCGTGCAATCATTTGAATGTGCATAAACTGTAAAATCAAAACATACATCAGCTGTTATAGTTTTTCAAATAAACATGAAGCTCTAACAGAAACACTCGAGTTATTAAATACCGATATACTTCAGGTAACACATCTCAGGTAATTAGGTGGTATAAACCCATAATTCTTTTGGTGCTTTATATTAATTAATTTTGGATGTTTGCATATTAACACAGTTAATCGCACCGTATATCTAACATGTCATGGCTAATTACAGAGCACTGTCAGCTTTCTGCAATTACCCCCCCTCCTTTCCAACCCCCCTCCTCCCCACACACAGATAAAATCTGGATTTTAAACCGATTGTGAGAGATATTAAGGGCAGTAATATGCTCATTCTCGGACACAGTTGATACGTTTTTTGTTTCTTTTACAGTACGCTACATCAGCCAGAACACGGGGCAGTTACACAGCGACGAAGCTTGGCTCTGTGTGTCCCATCAGCATGGTTCCTCCCAAAAAACTGAAAGAGCAAAAGGATAAGGTTAAGAAAGAATGCCGGTTCGTGTAATTCAGCCAATGTGCAGACCGCACACATATGATTGATTAGTCTCACTATTAGCATCATAGATTTTTACTAGCTGTGAAATTCTTTTGAAATGTCTCACATCAAGAACGCCTCACAAATATCTCACATGTTTCCCAGCCCGGAGTTACTCTCGAAAAAACTGTTCCAATAACTCCTAATGGCCTCGTTGAAGGCTTACATTTTGCATATAAGAAAGCTTGCATTGGAGACGCAGTGAAACCCGACTTTAGCTAAATTGATGCCAACTCGTATTTCCAAATTCTTTGTCAATCTGTCATCAAACGTGCTATCAAATAATGATAAGTGCACGCTGCTTGCTTGCTTGCACTGGCGTGCGTCTCGCTGACGCTGATGTGCTGTAATAAGGCAAATGTGCATCAAAATCTGCCTGCTTGGGTACACACACAACATTTACACTGGGCCTGACTTTGCTTCGCCCCTGTGCAAGAGGAGCACGGATTCTCTGCATCATCTGGCTTGTAAACCAGAGGAGGGGGACAATGAGGAGGAGGGGGGGGGGGTTAAAATGTTCATCACACAGCAGCAAGGTAATGACTAGCTCATGTGTTTAATGAAGGGCTTTAGAACTTATAGCTATAATGACCCACATCCCTAACTCCCTTTTCTCCCATTTAATCTCCCCAAAGTCCTCAGGTTATTACGTCCCTCTGAGAAATACCCCAGAAAAAAAGCATTACATCTCTCCACTCCTTCTCACCGAGGAGAACATTTGTCCTTTTACCCGCATTGTACGTTTGCAGATTCACTGACGCGATATCATTTTCAAAATGTGGAGGCCAAATAATAATCTGTTACATATGATTTATAATGAATTCCGCCTCCTGGGAATGCGAGCGCATACAAGACAAAGAGGAATGCATGTGTGCATGCTCTCCTACATACATCATATCTTCCAATAGCCCATAGTCCTCCACTGCTAATGGTGTTGCTTCAAATATGCTAATTAAGCAAAAATAAGTGATGAATGGAATACATTTGATCAATCAAGTAGGCCTAAGCCCCTGGTGCTGCATATTCATTGTACATCATGAATATGAAACCAGAGTAATTTATCAAATATCAGTTGCACATTTGTATCTTATTAATCATACATGCTGAAACGTCTGTCTTGTCAAGAAAGCTGAAGGTTGATGAAGCACTTGCGAAAAGGATTAAACTCGGGGAACTTGGGGAAGCGCTTCAGTTTTAATGAATGAGGTATTTTCAAACTTCCAGTATCTTACACACTCAATTCCTCCCTGCTGATGGCGTCCAGATGGTCCTAACCCCATTTTGACCCTTTTGTACAGTCTTTTAGATATTCATTTAAAGATTTCCCAATAATTACAGATATTTATCACTGCCGCGCTTTGAAAAAGGTTATTGATTCATTTTATAACTTCAGCCTGGTTTTGGGTGTGCACTGAAATCACTTCAATTTATATATTTTATCAATGAGAAAAAAGCTTCTTTTGGAAAGTTTCCACTGGTCGAATGCGCCACGACACTTTCATTTTGACCTGGTGTTATCTTTTGATATACATTACGGGTTGTTTTCCTGAACCAAAATATAGTTTGGTTGCAAACTATTAGTAAATATTAGCATGTGTTAGTTATTATTAAAATATGATTATATCGGGAAGCAGTTTAGAAATATTTAGCAGACACGGGAATTATTAATTGACTGAACAAAAAATGAAAAGACAAGTTAACGTTCCTTCCTTTTTTTAGCTGTAAAAAGCTGATATCCTTGGCCGTACCCGTATCCAACAATGTGTGGAGGTTTTCATTGCGTTCATATAGTGGCTGAGAGAACTAACACTTGATTGCCAGCAGTTCATCAGTGCATCCCTCATATTTGTCACCCGGCCTGCCTGAAGGCAGCGTGCTCGCTCAAATTGAAGCTGACATCTTCCAAATATGAAAGCAACAAATCACACATTTTTATTGGGCTTAATCTCCAGCCCGGCCCCTTGCAGACGTCAGCACAATCACGGACGCTGCTCTAATTCTTGCCGACTGGCTGCTTGTGCCTCCGAATCATGGAGCAGACGCAAATGACCATGCAACGGAGACAAGGGTGACACCTGCGCCTGTTAGGAGGCTTTAACATGCTGGAAAGAACATTCGCAACTCATGTAGCAAGAATGTGCTTGTGGGTAATATAAGGATCTGTTAATAAAGAGTACATCTTGGAACATGCCCAAACCTATTGATCTTGAGAGATAATAACAAAAAAGGATTTCCAGTTGTTTGACTTGTGCATTCACATCTGATATCTTTAATATGTTGCATCTGAGTCGTATGAAAGTAATGCTGAAAAGCACTGCAACAAAGGACAGTATTTACATTTTTTTTCCAGATAGAATTAGGTAAAAGGAATCCTCATGCATAAGATGAATTAAATTATTATTTTTTCACTCTACTGCATATATATATATATATACACACGGTTGAATATTGTTCTCATTAAAGGGGAAACCAGCGTCTGTTAACAAGTTCCACTGCCAATGTTTAAAAATATATATTATATAACGCCTTTTGAGGCTGCAGGGGGAGTTGCACAAAATCAGATGAAATCTGCCTTAAGTAATGTTACTTGACATTGAGTGTTGGTCATTGGTGCATTAGCCGCTCCTAGCGTGACACGGATTTATCTCTAAATCAACTTTCGAGTGGCAGAGTTGCTTTGTGGGTAATGTAGGCATCAGGATATGACAGAGAAGAAGACTGTGAAAAACAAAAAAGATCATCTCTTTTATCCCTTTCTTTCCTGCTCCTATAGAGTCAAACTCTGTTATAGGAGTGGAGCACAGGTGGAGTATTGCTTAAAGGCTGGAAACTATAAGTCAGCGAAGATGTAGGTGGTCCAGAAATGAGTAACACAGCTTCTCACCTCCGTCCAGATGTGTGGCCGACAGAGACACATGGTTTTCAAGAACCAAGAACATCGGGAAGCACAAAGACGTTCTAGAGGCAAACAGAAACACATTTCTTGTGAGGCTCTAATAGGAAAGTGTGTGTGTCCAGAGGGGGCTTTGAACGTTCTGCAAAGATTGTCTCAACAAAGACAGTGCTAACAGAAACCAGATAGCATTGACTACACGTTCTGTAAGACAAAGCACCCACTAGATTTTTGGTGTAATTTTCAAATTGACATTGGCCAAGATGAAAGCGTAGCTTGTTTGTCCACCACCGGAATAACACGGGTATCACTCGTGTCTGTTGGTGATCGGTAAACTCTCGATGAGGGCGCGATCTTTGCTGAAGCTTTTCATGGTGTCAGCATGATTAGAAACCTGCGGACCAAACGGTTGTATTTGTCTGGTAAACAGACAAATCCTTGTTCCCCAACGTAGCATCTTAAAATATTAGCTTGGATCGCTATGCTAGCTAGCGGTGTTGTCGAATTATCTTGATCGTTTCAGGGCCCCCAAAGCGGAAAGCTCCCTCTCCTCTTTGTTCTGTTACTGTATTATCTTTGATGCTCAGTCGATGTTTTCCAGCGGTTTTATTAGAGCTTCTTCTTATTTTTTTAAACAGCTTCGTACTTCTGATGGAGTGAATTTTGGGGGCAGTAAAAGCAAACCAATGAGCTTAGTGATGCTGAAATGTTCCGTAGAGCTGAGGGGCATCTGCGAGTTGGGGGATGATTGTCTTTGGTTTTTGTCACTTGAGTGGCCCCTTTAATATTATGCAACGTCTATTGTTAATATAACAATATTTAATAGAGCAACTTTAATAACTACAGGTAGTGTTCAAGATTAGGCATTCGTCCAGCAAGTACTCCTAAGCTGTTTTTAAATTAAATTGATTGGCCTATTAGAGGAACGCCACTGTATTTACTTACTTGTTGGATCTGCAGAAACTTGGAAAAACGATGAAGCCCACAGCTGTGTTTTCAGATTTTCCGAATTACACAGATGAGCCCATGGAGGAGCTGTGCAACATCTGTTTGCTCATTTATGTGTCAAACACCAAACATCAGTCATGACTGATCTCACTTTGACTAAACTTGGAAAACGAGGCGTCTCACCACTGCTTTCTGGCATTTAGAATAACACTGATTGGTCCAAGGGGAAATTACAATTCCAAATAAAGTGACACATTTGTTGCTGATTGGCCCAGATGGGGACATTTTGGGGACAACGATGATGACTGCAGCTTTGTTTTACCAATCAGAATTTTCATTTGGCGGTTGGTACACGTTACAAAATCTGAAAGTTTTGAATCATTTCTGTTTTGATGACATTCAGCCGCATTTACCCCTTTTTTATTGTTTACATTATAGCAGAATAAGGTATAACAATTACAGTATGGAAACCCACTAAAGAGTCTGGAAAGATTTTGACTGTCAGCACTGTGCAAAGTCATCCTGGCTGTAAACTAACAAGCAGAATTGGATGGGATTGGATTTGGACTCCTCAGACACTGTCGGGAGGACTCTGGGTTTGTTGGCTTTGTTGCAGCCTGTAAATCAACAAGGGCACAAGAACGCTTTCTTTTTTTGCCACTAGGAATTTGTTGGCTAGCTGAAGCGTTTTCGCTCCCTCTCAGGTTTTTTTTTTGTTAATCCACTCATTCATAACAAGCACATTCTCTATTCACACCTTCCTATTATTAGATTGCTCGTGACTTGCAGCCGACTTGCGGGCCTTAAAGCCAGAAACACACACTCCCCACTTGTCTTGTGCTAGAATGCAATGGCCACCTGCTACCGCGGTGCAAACAGAGTGATTGATTGACGTTGCATTTTTGCAATCTGCTTCTTTGTAGATATACTGTAACTAATCTCTCTACACCTCCGGATCCTAAGCCAAGACAGACGCAACATGAACCCGCCGATCCTTCAAAAGTCAAACACTGAGTCTGTAACACATGACATAACACTCCTGGATTATTTTAACAACTGAATGTTCTCGTTTTCCCCCCCGTCTATCAGTCAGCCGGAGTGGACGGTGGCCGTGGGGGGGGGGGGTGGGTTGATGGATGGATGGAGGGGGGCAGGGGGGTGGAGTACAGAGCTCTCTTCACCTCTTGCCCTTCCTCCGCTGTCATCCGTTGCCCCCACAGCAGGCCAGAAGTTGTTGGCGTTTTGCTCACTTGTAATCCGTCTCACTGTCTGGCTGCCGGCTCTCGGGTCACCTGTCACTCAATTTGACATGAATCAGCATTGACGCCAGCAGATTTAAGCTATTTCTCTCAGTCTGTAAACACAGCCTGGGTCCGTCGGGCCCCGCAGCAAAATAAAGCAGAAACAAAACTCAGCCCTCGCCACCCGCCCCGAAAACTCCTGAATGTTGCCTAATGACCCAGAGGGGCTTGAATACGGTTAGACGTGTTTAGTTTTATATGATATAACTCTAATTAAATGTGGAACGGCAATCAGGTTGTGTTAATGTGACATGACATGCTGATGCATCTCACTTTTTCAGCCCGAGACGAGGACACAGTTTTGGACACAGACAGTGAGTCCGCCATCAATCTGACACATTAGGTTTTCACGATAAAACATGTAAGTATACCATGATTTCCATGTACTCGGAAATTGAAATTGTTATTTCTTGAATTCCCTTACTGTAATTATTAAAGGTGCCATGTGAACATTGCTTATAGACATATGGAAAATATGTTCCTTCATTGTTATAATCCTCCATTGTTCACGTTAATCCAATATTCCTCCAGAACCAGGGGACAAATTTGCATTCAAGAGGAGCGAGATGTTACAGAGAGACCTTCCAGCAACAGGAATGGAGTAAGAGAGTACATTTAATGTTTCTGTTTCATTCTTCTTTATACTACACAATTCATTTCAAAGCAAACTATTGTAGCTTTTACACCGCTACATTTATTTGACACCGTACAAATTTTAATTTGACATAAAACCCACAATGAGCTCATTAAATATGATTTATTCAATTTTCATAGTTTCAACGTCCACAATACATAAAGTAAACAAAATTAACTCCAACGCGACCAACTACGAGAGAAGAATAATACATCCCTACATTCGTGCATTCATGCATTACTAATGATAATCCAACACTCGCTGGGGTCATTTGTCTGCAGTGCTTCTGCTTTACATTTACATTTCATCCCTTTATTCAAGTAACATAGCAGATGCAGAACCATACTTGTACATTAGTAAGCAAGTATCGCTGCTGTTGTTTAAGCAAATTATCTGGATACTTACTCCATCACTGCCTGAGACGTTATAAATAAGCACAGGGTAGATACAGACCCGTCACGTTAAACCCTCACACACATCTTAAGACAATCACAGAACTTCATTTATCAACATTTTTCGATCGTATCTGCACTGTGTATTGCTTTCTAGGTGCGAGTGGGCTATTTTCTTTTAAATGTCATATTATCTCTTTACATTACAAAATTTCTGTTCCCAATTTGGGAATATTATTAATCTTCTAGTTGTTAAAAATAAGTAATAAGAGGCTCCCTCTCCAAGCGGGAATTGCAGCTCCAGACGGAAACAACATCACACTGGTTGTAAACAAGATGCATATGCAGACAACACTTTTTTTATGCACAACATGTGTTGACTATCAGCGCAGCCAAATTGATCCACTGATGCAACTGTAAGCAACAGCGATAGTGTGAGCTGCATAGACAGTTGTCACTGCGGTCAAGATTCAGACATGGACGTGTGCAGTCTTAAGAACCCGGCCGCTGTGCAGACAGGGAAATCAATAGAGCATTTTGTTATCTATCTCTATCCTACAACTTAAAAGAGAAGGATTATATGTCATAGAGTGAGCCCAGGCAGACTCAGGCGTACATCTATCATTGTAGGGAGTCGCGGGCCTTTTCCTGTGTAAATCATGTGTCACATGGGCAGCAAGGTTCATTCTCCGGCCATGGAATACATTTAGGCCTTGGACACAGACCTCCATTTTTCACTTGTGATCGAGTGCTTCCCTGCAGTGCCGGACCTGTAAGTAGATTATTTTCCAACATGACGCCTTCATTGTTCGCTTTGTTATTGCTGTCCATATCCGATCAAACACGTGGAAAAAAAAAAAACAGCTTCATGTGCTGCAAAAAAGTGATTGATACCTTTTAATTATTCCACTTCTCTTAGGAGTGCAACCGGCACAGCTGCCGAGGTTTTAACGTGACAAACGTTCGACGGTGAGGCCAGAAAAAGGCGGATGGCATGCATGTGGCGGAGTGGCCAAGAGGCTTCAGTGCCACCGCCCCATCCCCATAAACCAAAACCCTCAGATGGAGCCGCGACAGTGAACGATCCGACTTCATCGTTCGCAGGACCCTCATCCTTGCGGATGGTTTCCGAAACATCCCTCATGCGGAACGTATGTGAAAGTAGCACTGGGAAATGTATGAGCCATCACACACTGCGACGCGTCCTTTCAGTCACGGATAAAGGGCCTCTCTGCGGAAGATGCGTCCGACCGCTTGAGGAAAGGAAGTCCCATCATTAAATTGTAATATCAGAGCCGTAATCGATTTGACATTAATGTTATACAGAAAACCATAAATACATAAAGAAATTGATCCCCAGCTTTCAGTCTCAACCTTCCTTGGTTGTCGTGAGCTGTGCTGTAGGTACAGAAGTGGGAGCTGTGTTCTACAGGTACTGTATATTCTCGGTGTTATGGGTGCAAAGGAAGCGCCAGCAGGTATTCACTCATTCAAGACATCTATATTACATCTGTGAGATGGGGTCTTCCAGAGACAATCATTCCTACGATTCACTTTCGGCACACAAGAATCATCTTATCTCATGAAAGTATGTGAGCGCTGAAATTGTCAGAGAAGCTGCCGCTTTTGGCTTTCATCGTCTCTTCCCAAAGCTTTTCGATTTAATTTAAAGTGCGCCGGGAAGTGCTTTCATTTTGTTTTAATGAAGTTTTAAAAGTCGTCTGATCTATAATGTAAGCTGCCGCCACAGTCCGACCTGCACTTACCTGCCACCCGTCCTCCGTGTGATTTCCCGCGGAATGCAACGTGACGACCCGTCGACCTTTACACCGTGTGGGATATTTCCAAGTTCACAGAGAAGTTAATCACCGGCGCGGAGAAATACGTCTGTGCTGCTGTTCCTCTTCCGTGATAAGCTGAGCGTACGAACCTTATCTATGGACCAAATTGTGAGTGCTGATGTTTTACGGCTAAAACTGAACAAATTCCCACCACTTAATGTCAACATCACACGCAATTTCCCCCGAAGGCCAGATGTGAGCACACACTGTGGGAATTTGGCTCTTCAAGTCTGGCGTTGCCGAAAGTGACCCAAGATCACGTGGAACAAAGACGCGGTAAATGGCGTCATCCACACAAAGACAATGAGTTGTTACGTCCAATGTCACGGCATTGTGTCGGGGGATTCGCACAAAGGATTGAACCAGAGACGATATCTGCTTGGAAACGGAGAAGGGTCTTAGCTGCCACATCAAAACGGAGGAGAGGGAGGCATAGCATTTGAAAGCCTAAAGGCTTAAACTAATACAAAAAGTCTAATCAGACTAGCAATCCCTGATGTTAATGAAGGTGTCACACATTGCACAAAGAAAGTTGTGCCTGGCAATCTTCCATTTTTCGGCTGCCTACACCAGTGACATTTCATCTCACATTCAAAGAGCGCCGAGGCCCCTTAATGAAATGCATAATTAACATATTCTAATTGTGCTGAGCACAGTGATGGTTTTGACAGAGCTCACTTTCCATGTCTAATTCAATGCTAATTTAATCTGTTCTTTTCCCGCCGACATGACCTTTCTTGATTGAGTTTCACCGCAAAGAATTTTTTGATGGATTGATTTATCAACCTCTTGAAATGCAACAAAAGTGCCAGTTTTAGATGGGCGAGGGAAGTAAATGACGAAGACCATGGCGAGATCAGGTGACTGTGGAGAAAAACAATTTGGTATTTCAAAACAAAAAAACGAAACCAGAGCAACTGTATAGAATTAAGTCCCACGATACGCTGCGGTATTAAAACGCCCGTGCACAAAACATAGCAGCATTTCCAATCACGCAGGTCTAATGGCATCATATCTCAGTCACAAGCAGAACATCGCTTAAGCCATCGGGCTGGCGGACCTTTAACACGGGGGATTAAGAGGAATCTAAAGGCGTCTTTGAGACAGAAAGAGCGAAAGATACCAGCACTATTCATGGCTCCTCCTTAATCTGAGTATTTACCAAAGGTTGATGCTGAGTAGGCAGCTCAGAGTATCTCGGCCCACTCGCCTGTCGAAAATTCCCGTTCTTTTATAATGGAGAAAGAGAGAATTACGTTCAACTGAGGCAAAGACACTGAGGAAGCCCACAGGAGTCTTTGTTTAGCTCAGAGCTTTGGGCCCACAAATTGTAGGGAATTTGTTGCAGGCAATAATTTACCTTCTGAAGACACACTTGCCTTTTCCTTCCACAGTCCTTCAGATGTCGGATAATACATTTGCACTATTCTAAACGGAAATGACAGATACCCCCCCCCCGGTGTCTGATTCCATGCGACCGTGTGAGGTGAAACCCAGGTGGGGAAATCGGGGTAGAAAGCTGCGGATGAGGAGGAATGTGGAGCTGTCAGTCAGTCAGTCAGTGGGAAGGGGGATTATGCGGAGCTCAGAGCGGTAATTGAACACCGTCGGGCCCGCCCTCATTTACATCTCTCCCTTCTGCTGGCTTTGATTGGCAGCTGTACATGAAATGCCACATCAGTTGAAAGTATGTTGTGAGCTGGCACTAACAATCCCGTGGCTCCGGGGAGACCTGCCATATTGTAATTTGGTTATCAGGCATGAAGGAAATAATTCTAAGTGCCAGGAAATGTGAGGCAGAATAAATGCTTCATTGCTGCAAGTTGCCCAGGGTGACAGTTCTTATTTAATGTACAAGATCGTCCCGTTGCCTGTAGATTTGGGGGGGGGGGGGGGGGATAGAAATGGAAGGCAGTTGTAAACTGATAGGTGGAGAATTTTCACAAAAAAGATGCCTCCCGAGAACAAAAACTCAAATAATCAATTTAAAAATACATTTATGTATAATAATATGTACTCTCAATATAGAAAAAGTTGTTTGTGTTGGAATCATCCATGGGCTTTTGAGACAAACGTCACAGAGACTGAAGTAATGGATCATTTGGTTGACTTGTAGTGAAAATGGGTCCTGAACGCAGCCACTTCTCTTAAGTGGCTTGGGCCTTATTTGTTTTGATGCCATGTTTTTGCATGGGGAGTCTTCTCTCTTGAGATGGAGCTGTCACATTGTAAAAAGAAGCCCCTGATGCTGGCAGCAGCCCCCGGGCAAAATGAAAACAAGTAAGTGGCATAGATAAATCATGCCAGCCAACGTCTTGTTGATGAATCAGATAAGACCAGAGCATCTCAGCAACACTGGGCTTAATGGAGGTCCCAGTGGCAGCTGTGGGTGGGTTTATAATGACTGTAGAGAGTTTCTTTTGTTCACGCGCAATTATAACGCAGATACATAGATATATATATGGAAAGATAGATAGATAGATAGATAGATAGATAGATAGATAGATAGATGCTACAGGGCTAATTATTCATAAACTAATAGGGTTACGAGAAAGTGGCCTCTGCCATTTTGCTCATGTGAACAGACTGACTGATGGCTGACATTCCCTGGCAGAGTGCGGATCATTTGTCCACAGGAACGGGGGCAGCCATGGTGTGGGGGCGCCTGGACAATGGGCTCAATGCTGGGCTATTATCCCCTATGTCAGCAGGGATCGGTCTCCCATTTGAAGAGGTTCTCTCGTCTGCATCCATGCCACTTTGAGGAGCATCGTTAGGTTGGCCTGTCAATTTCAAACCGAGTGTTATCTGGATGCTGCAAATACTGCGCATCATTCCTCTCTATATTTGCCCTCATACCATCCGTCCATCTGGCTGCCTGCAGTCCTGAGTAGATGGTCTGTTCAGTGCCAAACGATCTCCGCTATTGTTTTTTTAATCAAAACGGATGCAATAGCTCTGCAAATAGCCTAATGATAGCACACAAAAAAAATGCTTCTATGCTGCATCTTCTGTGCAAAATATTGCACATCAGCACACGTCGTTTTTTTCATTGCTCTTTCTCGCCCCCCTCCTGCTCTGTTAATTTTAGTCCAGCATAGACAGAGTGACGGGTGACGGGTGCCGCATTGTAAAGCTGATATGCATCAGTTTAAATAACACCTTTGTTGATCATCTGTCAAACCCCCAATGGGATTCAAGCAGGTAAACACTGCTGAATGTATAGTCAACTTCACGTCACACCTATTCCTACTGTACCTGATCAAACAGGCCTGTGAGGGGCCAAGACAGGCTTAGACCATCATTAGTCCATAGTGAGGTTGCACACTTCTAGTAGCTATCTCAGCTCATGGCCAAATTGGCTGGATGTCAATCTGTCTGTATCTGAGGTGTTAAAAGCCTAATGATGTCTGGTCCTGGCTGCTCCAATGTTTGGGTGTTGGTCTTCCTCTGCAGGTGATGTAGACGGCTGAATGTTACTGAACATTCTTGTGTTATTCTATATGTATAGCTGGACGGAGTTATGGATTGTACCTCGGCTGAATTGTATTTTTACTGTAGAATTCCAAGGCTTTGGATTTATGTTAAGACATAAAAACGCGGAGCACATTGGAGCAGATCAATGGGAAAGTGAAAGACAATTTGATATTGTAATGTTTTGCGGAACACATTTCTATATGGTGCTGTTTTCTTGACACATCTCTTACTCACGCTTTTGGCGTGTCTTTAAACCCTCCCTTTGGCATTGCCAGAGTAAGTTATGTGGATTGCCTGTGAAGACGTGATATCTCGGAAGCACTCACACTGCCCCCCCCCCAGAGAATTGGCCTGTAAACCATCATTAGCGAGCAGAAGAGTGTAAGTCTTAAAAATGTTAGATCCCGCTGATGTGCCATATAACCCCTTTTATTCCCAGTGACAAACCAAACCATCTAAAATCATGTATAATTATGCCGAGGCAAATCCAATTTACCCCTTCTTGCATGTAAGGTTCTCTAAATAAATGGAATTATAGATTCCGAACCACAAAGCAACTGCAGTCGTTCACAAGGAATATCTGCGGATATGGATCCCCATTCAACACGTGTTTTATCACTCGATTTGTTTGTTTGAGTTTAGATGTGATGGATGCAGCCCAAAAGACTCGAGGTAAAGTATCGGGAGTCGTCTTGATCTGATCTAAGAAAGCCCTGACTTTTGATGCTGTCGCAGCAAGACGGAATTACATATTCAACTTTGACATCTTTGACAATCGGGGGGGAGAGAGAGAGGCAACCTTCACAACTTTCAAGCGCACATAAAAGTTAGATTGCATTTTTAAAGGTGCAAGGGGAAGTCACCGTACTCAACCGAATCAACATTTCAAAGTCTTCATGGAGCCCTAGACTTTTTGAGGCAGATCACAGAAGGATGGATTGGCACGACTCATTTACATTGTTCAGAAACGGATCTCACTTGAAAAGAAAGATACCCTTTACACGGCCTAAATATAACCTTTTGTCTCGCACTCTGGGGTAA